CCTTGTGCAAGTCCTGAGCCCCAGCTCAGTCTGCTCTCCAGGGAAGGATACATTACCTACCTCCCACAGTTGCGAGGATTAAAGTCCTTTGTATGTAAAGGTGATACAAAATATCTTAGATCTTAGATGACACCAACAGTACAAGCAACAGGAAAACATAGAGAAGCTGGACTTCATCAAAATCTAAAATGTGAGCCAGTCCTGGGCCAGCAGGTGGTATGGTGGTGAAGGCATTGGATCCCACAAGATCAATTCTGTGGTTCTAGTCCCGGACCCAGCTGCTTGAAAAACACACCTAGCACGCGTGCATGCATGCTCCAAATCCCGAGAGTAGAATGGAGAAGGGATTATGCTGTGACCATTCCAGGGGGGAGAGGTTCTCTCTTTCTCTCTCTCTCTGTCTCTATTTGTCTCTCTCCAGTGAATGCATCCAACCTATGGCAAAAATCTAAAAAAGTAAAATAAAATCAACGTGAGCCTGCCCCTCAGCAGAGTGGTTAAGCTCTCTGCACTAGCTGGGTACCACACGCTGACTGAGGCTCAGACGCTGGCCCTGGTAGCTTGAAAACACACCAGGCACGCATGTGTGCACGGTCCCAGATCCTGACAGGATGGAGAGAGAAAGAAAAAGGGAGCGAGGCATGGCCACGCGCGACAGAAAGGATGCTTTCACTCTCTCTCTTTTTCTGGTGAGTTCTCATGCACTCTGGCAGTAAAAAATAAATTCTAAAATAAAAAAAAATTAAACATGTATACTGTGAAGGACACTATCAAGAAAATAAAAAGATAATTCCAAAAAAAGGAAGAAAAACTTTACTAACCATAAGGAGTCTCCAAAAAGTTCACAGAAAACGTGTATTACGGGGGCCGGCAGGTGATGGGTGGTTAAGGTGCTGGGCTCCCACATGGCCAGCTGTATTCAAGTCTTGGACATGGCAGCTTGCTTTCTCACTTTCCACTCCTCTCTCTGTCACCTTGGTCAAATTTTTAAAAATAAATAATAGCAACAAATAAAATTAAAGAAATAATTTTTATAAATAAATGTGTATTATGAAAAAACTGTGCATGGATTTGAAAATTTTTGCACCAAAATTAACTCATACTTTAGTTTGAATTCCACTGTTATTTCCATTCTTGCACAAACTTTTTTTAAGAATTATTTTAGGGACCAGCAGTTGGGGTAATGGTTATGTCTCTGGACTCCCCCATAGTCGACCATGGTTCAAGTCTCAGACCCGGTGGCTTAAACTCATGCTAGGTGCACGTGCGTGCGTACCCAAGATCCCGAGAGGAGAATGGAGGAGAAGGGATTGCGGTGTGGCCATCCCCCGGGGGGGGTGATTTCTCGCTTTCTTTCTCTCTGTATGAGAAAGCAAGCTGCCAGGTCTGGGGCTGAAACCACGGTCAGCCATGTGAGAGTCTAGTGTCCCAACCATTACACCACCTATCGGCCCCCACGAACTTCCTGAAGAGCCCTTATAAAACTGATAAGGGACTTCCATCTACAATATACAAAGAATTGTTACAATTCAATAATAAAAAGACAACTCCATTTAAAAATGCAGAAAGGATCTGAGTAGACAGTTTTCCAAGGAAAGTATACAAATGAAGAATAAACACATGAAAAGATGCTCCGCATCATTAGATGTGGGGAAAATGCAACTCGAAATGAGACCCACTTCACACCCGCCACGTGGTTAGAATCAAAAAGAAAGCAAGGCTGAGGAGGGTGTAGCGAAATGGGAACTCCGTCCGTCGCTGGCGGGAAGGAAAGTGGTGCAGCTACTTTGCAAACCAATCTGACAACTTCTCAAAAGAGTTGAACACTGACCAGCAGTTCTCCCTCCTGGACATACGCACAATAGAATTTGAAGCCAGGGCCGGCAAGTGGTGTAGTGGCTAAGGCGCTGGACTCCCGCATGGCCAACCGCAGTTCGAGTCTCAAACCTGGAGGTCTTCTTTCTCACTTTTTCTCTCTCACTCTCTCTGGTCAAATTAAATAATAGTAATTATACAAAAAATTAATAAAATATTTTTAAATATAAAACATATACCCACACAAAACCTTATACACAGATATTCACAGCACCATTAATTATAATAACCACAAAGTAGAAACAACACAAATGTCTATCAACTGATGGAATGGACAAATAAAATGTGGTATGTCCATACAATGGAATATTATCCAGCAAGAGAAAGAAGTAGGGACACGTGCTACGACAAGAGTGAACCTGGGAAATATTCACCGGACAACCCTTTGTACGGCATGTCCAGAAGAGGCAAACCCTAGAGAGAGGAGACAGTGGTTCTGGGGCTGAGGGAGGGTGGAGGGAGGGGCTGACTGCTAGTGGGCACAGGGCCCTCTGTCCAGGCCATGGAGATGGCATCACAGGGCTGCAGCGATGTTACACAACTGTCCATACCAAAAACCACCGAACTGTGCGTTTTATGTGAGTAAACTGTCTTAAAGCTTTTTTTTAATAAGAGTACCTTGGAACACTGGCTCTCATGTAATAACTGCAAATTGTTCATTTTTATTATAGAGAGAAGAGACTCCCCTGAACCTGAAAATGGGAGAAGAAAATATGAGTTGAGTATAATTAGCTAAAAGATGGCTTTACTTGGCATAGTTGCTGATTGTCCATAAAGAGCTCAGAAATATGGAGAATCTGAGAAAGTAATCATTCCACTGAAAATGCCCAGGAGCCTCACTGGTGAAACAACGAGAGGAGGAGCGTGGTCTGAAGATAAGCAGAGCCGCGGCGCCCAAGAACGTGACTCGTTTTCACCTAGCTCTGGAAATGACTGTGGGAAAGCAGGTAGAAAAAGACCTCCGAAATAGTTCACGTCAAATAGTCCATCACTGGGGCCCAGCAGGTGGTGTGGTAGTTACGGCCCTGGACTCCCACCTGGCAAACAGTGGTTCAAGCCCTAGGCCCGGCGACTTGCTTGCGCTCTCTCTCACTCTCTCTCTGGTAAGTGTACATGCCCTATAGCAAATTAAAAAGTAATAATAATAATAAGTAAAAGTAAATAAATCATCCATTTTTTAATTACATCATTTAAAATTCAAAAATAAAGTGAAAGTGATAATTTATGATAACTTGGACGCACGAGGTGAAGGACAGCAGATCTCTGCTCCTGGGAGCTGTGATGGGACCCCTCTGCACAGTCACCTGACACGCACACAAGGGTTTAAACGGGAGCACGGACTAGTGCTCGGAGGATGGTGTTTTAGCAGGGGCAGCGGTCCCTGTACACAGGCCCCGGTGAGCAGAGGCAGAAGCCATGGCAGCACGGGAGCAGCCTGTGCGGCAGGAACCAGAACCAAGGAGGAGCGGGGTCTGGGCTCTCTGCTGTCCCTTGGGTGGGAAGAAGTCACACCATACGCTTAACTCGGCTCCCTGCAGGAGAAGCCCTCGGAGGCCGGACACTGCTTCTGTGCCCCGCGCGTGGATTCCAGCCTCCAGTGGAACCTTGACACGAGCCTCAACAGCAAAGCCCACAAAACTGTCCTTGCGTTTACCCCAGCACTCTCAACTCCAGTCCCTCTCTATTCACCTTATTTTTAAAAATTTCACACCTGCATGTAGATATGTCCTTTCTTTATCTCAAGGACTGAGTTTCCTCATAGCCTTAAGCTACTTCTGCTTGGTATACACATCTAATCCCCTCCAGTAAAGTGATTTGCATGCTGGGATTCACTGCCTTGTACCCTGCGTAACTGGCAGACTGCACTGACTCGTACTGGTCAAGTGCCAATGTCCCAACATCAGTTTAGCTTTCCATCAGTTTCAGGGCGTTGTTCAGTTTCTCGGTCACATAAACCTGCCATGCTCTGCCTATTTTCAGCAACTCAGGTCTACTGAAAGCGAAATAAAGCCTTTGTTGTCCTTCCTCTACGCTGTCCTCAAACCCTCCCAAGAAACGTAGCCATCAGCCTCGAGAAAGCAGCAAAGGCAAAATATTTTACAACATTTTTGCGCAAGGACTGTTATGACAAAAGCCTGCAGGTACCAGCAGGAGGCACGGTAGTTCAGGTGCTGGGCTCCCGCGTGGCCAGCCGTGGTCCCAGACCTGGCAACTTGAAATCATGCCAAGTGCATGTGTGTGTGTGTGTGTGTGTGTACCCAAAATCCCAGGAGAAGAATGGAAAAGGAGTTGTGGCGTGGCCGTGGGGTGATTTCTCACTTTCCCTCTCATTGTTTCTCTCAGTCTCTCTCCTGTGAGCATATGCACTCTCTGACCAAAGCAACTCCAGAATCAAGACATGATGATGGGATGGAAGGGACGTGTCACACGGCCTGTGTACGTACAACTGTCTGCTTTTATTCTTCAAAGGAAGTTTCTATTTTTCTTGTTATTTATCCTGTTATTGCTGCCAATTAAGCCAGAAAATAATAGAGCCCAATTAAAAGCTGTAATTAAAGGGATTTTTGCTTTATTAATTACAGAAGGTATCAGGTTGTTGGAAAAGTCATGAAGACACATTTTTACAGGAAAAAAACATAGAAAAATATGTCATGACTTTTCTAACAACCTAATAGTAAGAGGGGAAAGAAAAACCCACCCCTGTAAAAATTACAAAATTTCTTTGTGTTCCCATTAACACACAAATGAAATGCAGTAGGGAATGAATTATAAGTCAAACATGTTTGAAAGGAGCACAAGCCATGGAAACAGAGTGAAGTCATTACTGTGAACAAATTCAAAATTGACAGCACAAGCATGCTCAATGCAGTCAAAGAATGAAAAGCACAATTTTCAAACCATGCTGGAGGAAGCACTTTCCTCTTCAACAGACAACATAAAGCAATAGGGTGCCCCATTAGACAAAAACCAAACAATAATCAGGCTTTTAACAGTTCTGATTTAAAGTTACTTAAATCAGAATATTCCAAAGATCACAATCGAGAAATTGCAACCATTCATTCACACCACCATGAAACAAGCACTCTAAAAACAACCGAAAGAAACTTAGCACATAGATCATGTACCTGGATCAATGAGAACTTCTTGTGCCCCTGGAAGAAAGAACAGATCATCGTCTTTTATTTGGAAAACAAAACTACTTTTAAAGACAGCTACTAAAACACATTTCATCATTCCCAAGGCCTTGAAAACCCTGGGACACTTGGACCTGTCCAGAGAAGCAGTGCTGGGTAACAGTGTTACAAGTCCAGGGCTTGCTTGCTCCAGAGGGAAAAAAGGGAAGACTAGGGTTCTCATACCCTGCGCGAAATGCAAAGTGCCCTTGTGCCTGCCCTCCCCTCCGTCGAAGCTCAGGCTCCCAGCTCCTCAACAACTGGGAGAATTTATCTCCACAAATAAGCCAAGTGACCTAGGAATACTATTTGTGCAAGGAAGAGTAGACTTCAGAAAGTTCATGGAAAATTTGGATTCTAGCACAAGTTTAACTTCATGAAAACATGTCTTTGAAGGCCAACCAGTGGCATGGTGGTTGAAGCAGCTGGACCCTCCGAGGCTCAGACCTGGCAGTTTGAAAGACACAAGTTGACATTATCGTTTTACAGCTCAGAAGCAAGGCTGAAGAGGTATGTTCAGTAGCAAGCACTCTTACTGAAACGGGGTGGGACTGAAACTTCGGGGCCTCAGAGCCACTGCCACAGTGATCAGGTGTCTGATTACCCGCATCATCAGGCTCCAGTGGGCTAACTTCACGTTCACCAAACTCTTAAAGGCCTGATGCACGAACACTGGAGATTTAACTTCCTAATGTAGGAAGACAAAACATTATCCATCAGACCAAAACATCGGGATTCAACATGTTTTCTCCTCAAGGGCCAAATCACAGGCAGGAGGTGGCAGGGCAAGCATGAACAGACGCAGGGCAGGAGGGCCTTCTGGATGAGCTCAACTGACCCCGTTCTGCCACAGGGACAGAGCAGTGCTGACCACAGGTCACTCTCACAGACGCCAGACGCGACTGCCAGTGTGCAGCACCCTCTCCCACCCTTCCAGGCTGGCAAGCCCCGCCTGCACATAAGGCTCATTCCGAGCCATAGCTGAGCTGGGGCCGCTGGGCGCCGGAGGCCGGTCTCTGGGCCAGAGCAGACCAGCAGGTTTCAAATCGCAGCTCTTCTGCCAGTTACTAATCTCCACGGCCTTGGTCAAGTTACTTACCCTCTCTGCACCTCAGTCTCGCTTCTATAAAGTAGGGGTAATAATTGACCCAGGTTGTCGTAAGGATTAAATTAGCCTGTGTAACACGCTTACGATATTGTTCGGCTCATTTTAAATGCTCAAATGGGGGCTGGCAGGGAACCAGCAGTTAGCGTAATGGCTATGTCGCTGGACTCCCACGTAGTCGACTGTGGTTCGCGTCCTGGACCCAGTGGCTTAAAACTCATGCCAGGCGCGTGTGCGTGTGTGCCCAAGATCCCGAGAGGAGAATGGAAGAGAAGGGATTGCAGCGTGACCATCCCCCCTGGGGAGTGATTTCTCGCTTTCTGTCTCTATGTCTCTCTCTGTCTGTCTGGCGAGTGCATACGCCCTATAGCAAAAATCTCTCCCAAAACAAAGAAAGAAAGAAAGAAAGAAAGAAAGAAAGAAAGAAAGAAAGAAAGAAAGAAAGAAAGAAAGAAAGAAAGAAAGAAAGAAAAAGAAAGAAAGAAAGAAAATGGGGGCTGGCAGGTGGCGTGGTGGTTAAAGGCACTAGACTCCCACATGGCTCCGCCGTGGGTTTGGTCCCGGACCCGGTGGCTTGCTTTCTCACTTTCTCTCTCTTTCTCTTTCTCTCTCTCTCACTTTCACTCTCACTCTGTCCCTCTCCGGTCAAAATTAAAACAAATAAACAAAGTTAAATAAAATAATTCTTTTTAAAAAGTTCAAATAGTTTTAACTCTTAAAACTATGACTTTACAGCTCTCCATTCTGATCATGTTCTGACTCCCTCCCTAGTCTAAGTCGGAAAGAATATCTTTATTTTTAAATTCTTGGGGCGCCCCCTCTGGCCCTCCCAATGCCCATTTATCTTTGGGAGAGGGAGGACGTGCTCCCCACTCCTCTGTTTTCCACAAGGAAGGCTTCTCCCTAAACACGGGAGCCCTCCCGTGAACTCCTGTTCCTGCCTGAAATCCAGGGAGTGAGCCAGGAGACTGCCGAGAGACAAGCCGGGCACGTGAACCCTTCTCCCTTCCCCCTTCCTGGCACGCTGGCACGTGAGGGAGCACATGGAACGCTGCCACACCCGTAGCCTGAAGGGGAGGACCCTCCTAGGAAAGCCTACTGTGGCCCAGAGCTGCTTGGGACTGGGTCAGCCCCATTTTCCTGCAACTCCCAAGTTCAAGGAGAATGGGACTTTCTCAGAGCTAGGGACATACATCTGTCTACCTGCCTCCTCTTCTGTCTCGTCTCTCAGTTGCTTGGTAGAGAAATCAGGGGCTTTATTATTGGGTCCCTTTAAACCCCAATACACATTAATGAACAAAGATTCCGGGGCTTGGCAGGTTAGAGGTGGCCTAGAACGCCGTCTCTCCAGTGCCACTCAGTCTCAGGTACAAGAAGCACGGCCCTCTCTCACCTCCCTCTTCTCTCAACTGGGTCTTGCCTCATAAAACCACCTTCTCCTATTTCAATTCCTTAGCGATTGCTATAAAGTGCCGGCTTCAGACAAAATAGCGGCTCGTGGTTAAGGAGATCGCTCACGAGAGGGCCACTGTGCCGGACACGTCGCACGCGTGCAGAAGCGGGGGCACTCTCAGAGGGCTGGCGGGAGCAGGCCTGAGCGGCAGCGCCTGTATTCAAACACAAGCCAGCGGGGCTCAAAGCTCAGCTACTCCAGGGCCCCGGGGTACCTCCCGGCTTTGCTGCCCAGGGAGCCCAGTGTTCTTCCCAGTTTTAGCGGACTCCAGAGACAGTCTCTTTTCTTTATAGAGATCCCGGCTGGCGGGTTCCTGATAGCGGAAGTCCATTTCACTGCTCCTCACAGAGCACGTGTGAAATTCTCGTGCTCACATGACAGAGTCAGAGATACAACGAGGCTCCTTTTCCCAGGTCTCCCAATCTAATGGGCCCTGTGCTCTACTGAGGCACTAAACAAAGAGGTCAAATACAGGAACCTTGTTTAAGTCTCCTAGAGAGAGGAAAATCAGCGTTTTTTTTTTTTAAAGGTACAATGGCGCCACCTATGGCCAGAAAAGTCTTTCCGAGCTGCTGCGCGGTAAGAAATGACCAGTATTTTATATACATAGGTATAGGAGGCTCAGAGACCTGCTCGGCTCGGCGCTTGCCGGAGCTTGCCGGAGCTTGCCGGAGCTTGCCGGAGCTTGCCGAAGCTTGCCGGGCGCATGCTGAATTCTGCCCCAAGGAAGGGAGGGTACTCAGTTCATCTGGAAATGTTAACAGCCTGATACAGACAAAACGCAGGCTCGAAGAGCAGAAAGGAATCTTGGGAATGTGGTCCAGACCGTTCACTTTAGGGCACAGAGGTGAGGCCCCAGACAGAAGCCTCACCTTGGCAATTGGGGCAAAGCTGCTCTGTCCTAGGTCAGCACTGCGCCGAAGGCCGGTCTTAGGCGAGTCGGCCCTGCAGGTGGCAGGGGCACTTCCGTGTTCAAAATCTCAGAGTGCCCCGCAAAATACTTCCCCGAGGGCTGGGAACTATAAAACTATACCTTTTGGTTGAAATGTGCAAACATGCATTAACATAGTAAAATGACACTATCCACGACAACCCTCTAATTCTCTCTATAAAGGAAAATACAGACAATGGTCAAATCAACATTTTAACTTTTTTAACCTATTAAAGGTACAGAAACAAATCTAAATTTTCTTTCATCACAAAAGAGAGAAGCTTATTCCCTGCAAACAGCTCAGTATCAATTTTTCTGAACTTACTGGCTATGGTCAACTTGGGAATGACAAACTCCTAGTATTTACAAGTTTCCGTAGATGATGACGCAGCAGTGTCAGTTCTGACCAGTCTGTGTCACTGTGACAGATTTCTACTGAGCAGCTCTTAAGTGTTTTGGATTCACAGTGCCTAACTCCTGCAACCATAGAAACTAAACAATACTATTTTAATTTTGCAGATGAGAAAATAGATTTAAACCATAAAAAGCAGGGTTGAGAGCCAGCCTCATAGCCTAGTAATTAAAGGAGCTAGCTCCCACATGGCCAACTGCAGTTCAAAACCAGGCCCAGGAGTTTTGAAAGACCTAGCAAATCTCAGCAGCATGGAGAGATGGAGAAGAAGGGATAGCTATGTGACCACATCTCTTGGGGATGTTTTCTCCCCACTTTCCCAGCCCCCATCTCCCTCTGGTGACAGCGTGCACTCTCTAGCAACTAAAAAAAAAAAGCTTGGGGACCAGCAGTTAGCGTAATGGCTATGTAGCTGAATTCCCATGTAGCCGTCCGCAGTTTGAGTCCCAGACCCAGTGGCTTAAACTCACGCTGGGCACATGTGCATGCATGCCCAAGATCCCGAGAGGAGAGTGGAGGAGAAGGGATTGCGGCATGGCTATCCCCCCTGGAGGGTGATTTCTTACTTTCTGTCTCTCTGTCTCTCTCTGTCTTTCTGGCAAGCACACGCGCCCTACAGCAAATAATAATAATAATAATAATAATTAAAAAACCTCTCAAAAAAAAAAAAGAAATAAAAATAGCTTGGGACCAGCTAGTGGTGTAGCAGTTACATAGCTGGACTCCCACATGGCTGACCACTGTTCACATCCAGGACTCGTCGGCTTGAAACTCTCATGCACTGCTGGCCTGGATAACTCAATTTTAAGGAAAAACATGCCCTTTCTCGGGAAAACGGTGAGGCAGCTTTGCAATCTGGAGCCACAGTCTTCCGGAACTCACTATCTGATAATCAGCAGTGATACTATCACAGCGGTAGCTGCTAACGTGATGAAGGGCTGGGCCCACGGCGCTCCGGGGCCTTTCCATGTGTAGGTCAGCCAGCCCTAACGCCTCTCCTGGGAGGTAGGGACTCGTCCCCATTTTACAGGCGAGGCTGCCATCGGAA